ACATGCCAAATACGATTATGTGGGTCAGGCAGTCTTTAGGGTCAGTTCAGATTATGTTTCGGTCAAGGTCAGGTCAAGGTCAGGTCAAGGTCAGGTCAAGGTCAGGTCAAGGTCAGGTCAAGGTCAGGTCAAGGTCAGGTCAAGGTCAGGTCAAGGTCAGGTCAAATTAGGTCAAATTTCAAAGTTGATATTTTTGCATAAAATGGGTCATGATTCGATGCAGCTCGTCACGGGGAGTTCAATGAGGGTTTTTGTTTTGCGCCGCTACGTGGTCTAGAATTGCTAAAAATTGAGTTTAAAATATGACGTCATCAATTTTGAACAGTTGTTTCGCTATAACTTGGCCAAAGAAGGAGGAATCGATCTAAAATTTGGTATGTCTATAGAAAAGCGCAATGACTATCACATATATTCCTTTTTTCGAAATTCGGATTTTTTTGATGTTTTTGAGTTTTGCTAAAAAAATCAATTTTTTGATTTTTTGGGGGGCCAAAACCCAAAAAATTTGAAAATCCGAGATAGCAGTTTTGTAGCGCTATATTTTGTCTACATGACCAATACCATATAAAGAACTTTGAAATCGCTTGGTAACTGTAGCTTTTGTAAGCGTTTCACGATTTCATGTTTTTTGCTCATTTTTGCTCGAACATGACCTCAGTTTGACCTTAATAACTCCTGACCTAAGGTGACCTAAGACTTGAAATTTGGTGTGAAGGTGTCAAATGGATGCCCGGAAAGGGTTTTCTTGCTATTTGGGAAAAACCACAGGGGGGCCAAATTGCCACCCCCCCCCCCCCCCCAGCGGGGCGAGGGTTAAAAACTTAAGACTACGAAGATATAGCCTGAAGTACCTACATTAAACTTACTAGGTGCAAAACCTACCGTTAAAACTCGCGAGACTACTTAACTTTCAAATTATGGAAGAAACCGTTGCCTTATTTGTCCACAATCATGCAATCTACTTCCGCTTCAGCAATGATGACAATGGACATCTTAAACGCATTTTTGAACAATTTGTTGCAAAACATTCTTATTGTATATGGAAGGTTGCATTAACTATACTGTTATGTAGTAAGCACTCAAGCTGCATAGTGCATACGCATAACTTGTCCGGTCATTGTAGCTATTTTCTTACCTGAGGCCTCTTGCACCAAACTACCTAGCTAGGTGAAATCGAAAAACCGGTTTCAGAATAAGCCAATCTAACGGTGGTAAATTTGTTTGCAATAGCCCAATACATAATCCTACATGTGCTTGCTAAATTTGGCACGCAAATTGTTACATTTGAGACTTGGACTGGGTATACGATGCAAAATAATCCAAGCATTGGTGCAAGAGGATTTTGGTGCAAGAGGCCTCTGTTCGCATTGAAAAAATTAATTCTGAACCACGGCCCATGTTTAATGATAATTAGCGGCAGGCGGCAGTTAACTGATTCTCAAACTAATCGTCCTTCTTAGACCCGAGCGATCCCACCCACATAACTACTTCGCTGGGCGGCAGCACCCGACATCTGCGGGGCGGTGCGGCTCGGCCCCCGCTTCCTGCGAATCGTTAGCGTGCCAGTAACAGTGCCACCGCCGTAAAAACGGCCGCTGGAGCAAACACAACGTGAATCAAAACAAACGGGGCGCGCGCGGGCCGAGCGCACGACTCGTATTCTCACAACCGCCGACCGGCTGTCGGCCCCGGGTGGGGCGAGGCTGTGGACCCAGGGGTGGTTGTTGAGAGTGCTGGAGTACGCCCCTTCCCATTGCCAACGTTCACAGTTCGGTTACTAGCTGCCGAGCTAGAGGCGGGTGCGGAGCCGGAATCAGGAGCCATTGGTCAGAAATAAGGGTCGATGAGCTAAAGCTATAAGGAACCATTGGTCATGAAGAAGGGGCTATAGCAGCCAATGGTCAGGAAGTAGGGTCCAGGAGTTAAAATCAGGAGCCATGAGCAAAAGGGTCAGGAAGTAGGGTCCAGGAGGCAAGAACAGGATATGAGCCAGGAGCCAATGAGTGGTTAGAAAACAGGTTCCAGGAGCCACAGTCAGGAGCCAGGAACCATTGGTCAGAAAGAAGTGTCCGGAACTTGGAACTCGGAAGGCGGGATCGGATGGCTGTTAGAGCGATGAACAGGGCCATCCAGCGTAGGCAGGTGTGTTTGCTTTCCCTGCCCACACCACCGCCTCGCGGCCGTCCGTAACAGCGCGAGGCGGGCGACTTTCTCCGTGACTCCTTGTGCCAGAACTGTGGTCTGTTACTGAGCTGCACCCCATCGCCCACGAAATACAGACTAAAGATATGTGTTGCTCGTCTGTCTCTGGATCTATTGTCTATCCCAAACCAGCCATTTGGTTGGTACTAGCTGATCTTAGATCTAGGTATGGTGCAGTCACGCATTCATAAATTAATAAAATTAATGCTACCAAACGTCTAAAGCTTTTCATAGTGCTGGATCTGTGTGTCCGGCATTCTCTAAGAGGTATGTATATTTACTGAATACTGATGATTGCCTTGGGAATGTAAAATGGATAGGTTCTCTGCGCTCCGTGGAGCATTGTTTTATTGTTGTATGTCTTCCGGCACAGTATATCTTCAGGCGCTCTATTTCACTGCCATCCACTGGGCGTCATGGGAGACAATTATTCACACCAGCAGCATGCTATCAATGGCTTTGGTTTTTGGTCATGCAAGGCAGCTGCCTAGGAATACGAGTAGGTATACCAAACGCCACTGCGAGATAATACCTAGGCAATGTAACATGGCGACTGCGAGCTCGCTTAACCCGCGCCCTGATGGGGGGGCCATTTTGGCCCCCCTGTGGTTTTTCTTAAATAGCGAGAAAACGGCGGCGCGCAGCGCCGCCAAATTTTGGGTACCTTACCGGGCATCAATTTGACACCTTCACACAAAATTTCAAGTCACAGGTCACCTCAGGTCAGGAGTTATTGAGGTCAAACTGAGGTCATGTTCGAGCAAAAATGAGCAAAAAACATGACATCTTGAAACGCTCACCAATTCTACAGTTAACAAGCAATTTTAAAGTTCTTTATGTGGTTGTGTAGAGAAAAGACGGTGCTACAAAACTGCTATCTCGGATTTTCGAAATTTTGGGATTTTGACCCCCAAAAATAAAAAAATTGATTTTTTTAGAAAAACTCAAAAAATTTCCAAAATTTTTTCGAATTTCGAAAAAAAACCGGAATATATGTGATAGTCCCTGCGCTCTTCGATATACATACCAAATTTTAGATCGATACCTCTTTTTTTGGCCAAGTTATAGCGAAAAAACTGTTAAAAATTGATGACGTCAAATTTTTGAACTCAATTTTAAGCAATTCTAGACCTCGTAGCGCAAAACGGAGACCACCATTGAACTCCCCGTGACGAGCTGCATCGAATCGATACCCATTTTATGCAAAAATATCAACTTTGAAATTTGACCTAATTTGACCTGACCTTGACCTGACCTTGACCTGACCTTGACCAAAACGTGACCTAAGCTGGCCCTAAAGTCTGTCTGACCCACATAATCGCATTTGTCATGTAAAATGGACCATAAAACATGTATCACACGACACTTTCATATTGTGACCCCCCAGTGACCTGACCTCTGTGACCTGACCTGGTATCAGTGACCTCAAATAGCAAAATATGTGTTTGAAGAACATTTCTCCATCGATGATTTTCAATGAAATGCATTTTACTCGATTTTACAACGCATTTCTTGAAATGCCTGTAAACGGTGAAAATTCGACCTTTGACCTGACCTGTGACGTCATCGGTTTGACCGAGGTCAATGAAATTGGGTCACAAGGTAGTTCCCCGCTGGGGCTATCCAACACCGTTTACCGCTTGTCGCTATGTTGCGTGGTTCTCGAGATCTGAGGGGGGGCCAAAATGGCCCCCCCATCAGACCGCGTTGCTCGGCGGACCCCATCTGGGCGCGGGTTAAATATTTCCATGTATGCTATCATCAGACTTTGCACATGCAGCTTGATTATGATTTTGAAGACAAGAGCACTGAAACGCCATTTTGTGAGCCAATATGGCACATTAAAAGCTTGTCAGCGGCGAATTCCGTATAACAGGCAACCGTAAACCAACTTCGTCACACAATGGAACATGGATTGAAAAATACGTTTGCGTGTTGATGTGGATCGAGAATCAATGATACTCGTTTCATTGTTCCCTGTAAACAGCATTCAGTGTGGACTGTGGTTTGGTAGCCAGGACACGGACACTTTCCGTTTCCTTTCCTCTTGCACTCAGCATAACGGTCAACTTCACTTTGGGTGAGTCTGGATCCTGATTACAGTTGCGGCAGATAGGACAGAATCGTACGGGACAAGTTAGCTCACAGGTGAGTTGTTTTTTTAGTACCTATAGGGCTCTTCTTTCTAAGCATAACAAACAAAAAATCCCGCACTTGTAATTGAGCTTTGCCGTCAGTCACTGTAGCGACTAGCGAATGTTTTCTTCCTTAATCAAACACATATCCAAGCTGAATCTACTCAAACCGAGAAATAAGATATAAAAGCTGAAACGAGTCTGAGACTCCGAATTAAGAAAAACTGAACACAAGACTAAGAGCCAGAGAGGAAGGCAAGCGCTCGGACTGCTTCTGTGTATTCGATGCACAGGAAAAAATGGCGCACTACGCACTTCGCTTGCTGCATTCTTCATGTCGCACTATGAACATTGCAACAGCGCTTAGCAAAAACTTCGTAAATGTTTTCTCAATTCAGTGGCCCAGCCGACGTGTAACTCAAACTGACAAATCAATCACGAACATAAGCTGTCGGTGACGCCTGCTCGTTCCCTGTGAGCGGGGCGGACAGTCCACTGGTCGGGTCGGGAGCGCGTGCCGCCGCCGCCGCCGTCGCCGCCGCCGCCGCCCGGCCGTCCGTCGTCGTACAGGTGGCGGCACGCGGCGGCGGCGCCAGCTGACTGCGCCCCGCCGCCGCCGCTGCCGCCGCCGCTCTGGCGTATCGAGCGCAGCCGCTCAGTGCGAGTCGGACCTCCACCGCGTGTGGTCCTCCGTTCGCCCGTGCGAGAAACCGGGCGCCCGAGCCAGCCGGCAAATGTGCCAGTGATCGTGCGCGCGTGTGCGAGTGACGAGTGGTGGTGATGAAGGCGAAGGTGAAAACAGATCGGAAGCCGGGGGAGGCGGGAGGAAAGAAGGGGAGCTCCGGAGCGCCCGCCGGCCCCGCCCCCGCCGCGGCCGCGAAATCGGTGAAGAAGGCCACGGCGAAGGAGGCCAAGCTTAAGAAAGTGATGGCTAAAAAGGTGGTGGTGGGTGGTAAAACGGTCAAAAAGGGGAAACCAGTGGCGGGAAGTGTCGGTGCGAAGGAGAAGCAGTCTAGCAAGACAAAGCCGAAGGCGGCGGCGAAGGACGGTGTCAGAACCGCCTCGCCGTCCTCCGGTCAACGCTCCGCCTCGTCTGAAAGCGTCACCAAAAAGTCCTCATCGAAGGCAGGCAGCAAGACGCAATCAGCAAAGGACAAACCCGCGCAGAAGAAATCGTCCGGGTCCAGCAAGCCCGCTGCCAAAAAGTCTGCGCCGTCCAAAGCGGCGGCGGCGGCGACAGGCGGCGAGCGGCCGGGCGACCATCCGGCGGCCGGGAAGGCGGATCGGCCGCGCCCGGCCGCACCTGGCGCCCGTGTCGCCGCCGCCGGACCAGCTGGCGCCGGCAAGAAGCCGCGGCCCGCCGGCAAGCCTCGCCCCAAGCCGGCCACATCCAAACTGGACTCCAAGAGCGCCGGCAAAAAAGCCCACGGCGCGTCCGGCGAGAGCGGGCCGCTGACCCAGAAAGCGGCCGCGCACTCGTCCGAGTCGGACGCGGGCCGCCGCTCTGACTCGAGCGACAATGAGCTGCTGAGTACCAAAGTGGCCGAGCGCCGGAAACAGACGAGTTCCGGCGACGCGCGACGGAAGGGTGGTACAGCCAAGGCTCTGGCGACGAAGAGTGCGGCCAAGAGCGCGGCGGCCGCGGCCCGCCGTCTCGCCAAGAAGAAGGCGGAAGCGCAGCGCCGCCGAGATGAGGAGATCCACAAAATCCTGATGTCCCAGCCGAGTCGGCGGGTGGCCAGTCTGAATGCCTCGGCGATGACACAGTGTATGTTGGAGAATGAGAGCATGCCGAAGGCGCATCCGCCGCCGGCGTCTGTCTCGAGCTCCGCTCAGACGTCATCGTCACAGGAGTCTGCGGCGGCCAAATCACAGACCGATAAGTCCGACACCGCGACAGAAACCAAAGGCAAGGCGGTCAATAAAAAGAAACCGACAGAAAAGCGGCCACCGAAGAAGAAGAAAAAGGAAGAGAAACGCCCTGAAAAGCGTGAATCAAAACACGACGATACCGATCAAGAAGATGATAGCGATACTGAGAGTGAGCAAGAAGAAGACAAACCGAAGGACAAGCAGCGTGACAAACAAGCCAAGTCCTCCAAGAAACGCAAAGACAAGGGTTCGACCAAAAAATCTGACGCGAAGAACAAGCCGAAACGGAAGCGGGCGGAGATCGGTGAGATGCCGTTCCCGGAAATGGTGGTGAGGAAACGGATCGCTAGCCTGAACGCCTCGGCCATCATGTCAGCCAGCTACTCGCCAGAGCCGAAGCGCCGCCGCGACGCCGACGCGCTCGCTTTGGTACCGGTGGGTGAGACCGCCCTGCAGCCGGTGAAGCGTGCCAAGCGGCCGCGCCGTCCGCGCCGCGTGGCCACGCCGCCGCCAGCCGAGAAAGACGAGCCCGCCGTGCTGGAGGACGTAGAGCCGATCGGACCGGCACTCACCAAGGACGGTCTCGAGGAGGTGGACCTGCTTGTCGCCGGTCGGGACGTCACAATCACCGGCATGCACTACGTCACCACGTGCACCAGCACCACGTGCGTCACCAACGTGCACAGCTACCGAATCTCCTCTGCCACCACCAAGAAGAGAGAGGCGCTGTCGGCGGAGGTGGTGCCCACGGCTGCTCAGCAACAGGTCAGTCCAGCACCCCGTGGTGTGCCCCGCCCCGTACCTCTCCCCCTCCCCGGCGGACACGGTCGGTGTGGCCCGACTTTTGAAGTGTGGAGGCTGCCGTGCGAAGTTGGCACGCGTGGGCGGGCGCCGCTCTGTGGCCGACTTGTTTCGGCCTCACATCTGATGTGTTGATCCTTCTGCGCGGCCTGCTGAGGCCACGTCCGGCGGCCGTGACGTCACGTCCAGCTGCCGTGACGTCATGGCATGTTGAGGCGTGACGTGCTAGTCTCTGAACGCCTGAATCTCGTGACGACAGCGTATTATCTGTACCGGAAGAATCTCCGGTAGTATGGAAAGGACCCGAATAACACCATGCACTCGACCTCTCCCCCACCAACACTGTCGACACTTAGTCAACATGATCACCGACCTCCTGGGGCGCCGCTCCACGGTGGTCGGGCACGGGAACGACCCCCGAGCGGCGTCTCACACTCGCTGCTATCGGTGTGTCTATCGTAAAAACCCCGACGCCCTGCCAAACGTAGACGCCGAGCTACAAACGTGGCATATCGATGAGGCGATTGGAGGCTTATCAACCCAGTCAGATATGTTGTTTGTAACACGGCAGGTGTGTCGAGTTCGATAGCACGTACTACCTACATGCTCTCCATTCTTTCATTTCTTCTAACCAATCAAATGATAATTAGTCAGCTATTCTACCCAATCGGCGCAGGCTTTAGTCTGCAGTTCAATTATTCCCCATGTGAGCGAGCCCACTGCCGTGGCGCCTTTGCCAGAGCGGTGAGGTGGCGTCACTTACAGTTGACATCCGGTACGCGCGCGCTCCTCTATCGGGCCGACTTCCTACTGCGGTCGGCGAGCGGGACGTTTTTCCACCATCGATCTGAGTGCGGCCACACGCAGCAGACTCGCCGGCCGTCGGCGGCGGACGAGGAGCCGGAGCAGTGGAGAGGAGAAACCGGATTGGTGTCCGAGACGAAGTAAATCGTCAGAGATGGATGGGCGGAATGGAAGGGAATGAACTGATACGGATGAACTGGTGAAAGATTTGGGATTGAATTTCTGGTCGTTCTCGTTGAGGTGAGGTGTAGGTTTTCTGATACAACCAGAGTTATGTAGCCAGATGTCGTATTAGCCTATGTCGTGACAACAGAAGCGGTCGAGTGCTACCGCTGTCACGCTACATATTTGACACTCACCGCCAGCCCTTACATCATCTGTCTGCCCCCGTGTTTCTGTCCCGTGCCTGCAACCATGTCGACGTTGTTTCACCCCAGTTAGCACCACTGCCATCCGTTGTCACCCGTTACACCTGTTCCCGTTAGAGCGCGTCACGGTACCGGAGCACCCTTCTCTGCCCTCGGGCCGAGGTCGACACCCCTGGCGCACCGCCCTCGCCGCCTCCGCCGCCGCCCAGCACCGGCTGGCGGCGCCGACGGGTCCCGGACCGGACTTGCATAATGTGCGGGACAGGTCGACCGGGACGTGCGGTGGATGACGCAAGGCCGCGAGGCGCGCCGACCGGCTGGTGGTGCCGTGGATGGCGCGGTGCGTGGGAGCTCCGCGCTGCGCGCGGCGCAAACACGGCAGTCACACGGGGATGAGGGGCTGGTGGAAAGTGTGGAGCTCATGGGCCACCGGCCAATGAATGTAATGGCGAAACAAAACAGCTAATTAATAGGGAGGAAGGAACCATATGATTGGGAATGAATGATATAATTAAGACCTGACCATTCGATGTAAAATTATTTGGCAGCATGTAATTCCTTTGCTGAATATGTAGGTATTTCCATAAGCTTTGGGAATGGATCTGATACACCCATGGGTCTGAGTCTGAGCTACGACCTATGAAGACACCTTCGGTGAATTCCAACTCGGAAACCGTGGCGAATGGTCCGGTGTCACCGAGTACGAGCCTGCAGACAGTCTTTGCGGTGACACTGCAGGTGTGTGCTCGATCTGAGGCATCCACAGCTGTGCCGTGGCTGCGTCGCACCGCCAGACAGCAGTGAGTCACTGCTTACCGGCCCCGGTTCCCCGTCTCCGTCAGTCAGAACGGTGGGGCGGTCTACAACGGCGACGACAGACCGGGATTGCGGGTCATCGAATCCTGTCTGCTATATCCCTGATGTCACCTGACGTGGCATTTATTGTATTTTCACTAACATCATCACGTCATTTTGTCACGTCATCATGTCACATTAAAATCAAACTACGTCTTCATCACGTCTTGTCACATCGTGTCGCTTAACGTCACAATTTAGTAATGTCACAACAGTGACATATGGAATGGACCTGGGAAGCCCAGGGGACGTTTCCATCCTATCTGGGCTCTGAGCTCTGACACTTCACCCTGCCGTGTCTCCGCCCGCCGGTCGCCCACCCGTCCAGTGACGCCTTTCTGGCACCCCGTCGGCGCCTCATCTGCCATCCCAGCTCACCCGGCGCCCCGCGGACGTGTTGATCCGTCGCGTCAGCGCGGCTCCTCGCCGTGTTGATCTGTCTCGTCTGTGGGCTCCGGCGGGTGGTGCAGCTGCGGGCGCCTGTGTGTAGTTGGTGCTTGCGCTCTGTGCCCTGCGGTGCCTGCACGAGGCCCTTCGAGCGGTCGAAAACATGTTGGGCAAGCGTGGTGGACGGCAGCGAACGGAGCTCAAGTGAGCACAGATGAGACGGAAGTGTCAGACAGTATCGATATCGACGGGGGTGGGTACGCGAATAGATTGATCCTCTCTGAGACGCAGTAATGATGAACGGTCACTGCCGCTGACACTCACTGATAGATCGGTCTGTCATTGTAACGAGCAAAAGCATCGGGACCCGATGTCTCAGAGACTTCTGAGTCATGTTTTGGTGATGGACTGAGTCATCTTCCTGCGACCCCTTAGATCATCGGCCTATGACCCTCCCTGTGACTGTCTGGGTAAACTCTTTGACACCACAGGTCTTTTCCGAACATCCAAGCCGTTTTCAGGCCAGTTTCCCTCTGAACGGCCGCTATTTTGGCACCACTTGCAATGTTTACTCAGCAGCTCTGATTGGTTCCATCGAGGCGTGGGCGCGAACTTGTGATACCCTCTACAAACAGCCCACTGATGTGCAATATTACACACATGAACGAGGTAAAATACCGCTGCATTACCTTTCTGCAGAAGTAAAAGCACCTAATCGTGGTCATTCGATCTTGGCTTGGAACTTTTTAGATAGAGGCAACCCCACTTGTTGAGCTACTGAGACATGTTTTCCACTCAACCGGAATGCGCTTATACAAAGGAGCACATCTACCAGGAAATGAAATTTACCGCAGTACATGGTACGATGAGGTCAAATGAAGACTGACTTGCGTTTTCGTAATCTCTCTAAACAAAATACGTCGTTGGACTAGGATTCTCTGTATTAATATCGGATCTATATCGAATTCCGTGAGCACCGTCTCTCATGTATAGGTATGTCAGACGGCTGAGCTTGACACTGGTTATGACACTGTGTTTACTCGAAAAGACGCGGTCATCTTTAGAAGTTGCAATTTTGCTGGAGCAGTGTCGGCTTTAATTTTGAAAAAAAAAATAAGCATACCTTGATCAGGTCTTCGATAGAACGGCAATGCTGCAAGACAAAATAGCAGACGGCTACAAACAAAAAGAGTCTTGTTTCCGGCACAAGGCAGTTTCTACCCATTTCATGGAGTATTCTGCACGGAATTATATAGCGATACATAATTCATGATTGCTCAGATGACTTAAATAGCTCAAGAAAACGAAACTCACACAAAGTAAGTGAAACTTCTACGAGAATGAGAAACTTTTAGGTACTAATTTTAAATACCTACGTGACCTGTGATAGTCAGCCAGGCCGGAATGTTTAAAATAAATCATGTGCATTCTCGAGTTATCCGTAGGCTGAATCACTCCCCGTGAGACCGACCTGTCTGCGAAGTTTGAGCTCGACAGGCGGCGGCGGTGCGCTCCGGAATGGCTGCTCCCCTTGGCTGGTGATCCGCTGTTCTACGTCAGACCAACTCGGACCGACCGCTGAGCCCCCAGCTGTGGAAACGCTGCACGAACAGTGGCTTCCCAGCATAGTAGGTACCCGGCAGATGTTGATTAAAGGTGGAAATCCTATATCGCGGTAGTTTACTTTTGGCCAGTATTTCTTGTGGACATCCTTTAAAGGGAGATTATGACCTTTTTCCACAAAATCTGAGTTAGGACCATTTTCTGACAAAACACAACAAGTTATAATGTAAATTAAAACCATTTTGCTCAATTCGGTACCTTGCCGCAAATATCTCAACTTGAAGTCACGTTAGCGGGGAGCGCTGAAAATGACCGTTGAATAAGTACTTACATCACTTTTTGGTACTTGCATGTAATTTTGTAAAATGAGCGTATTCATTACATTTAGTTAGTTAATGGTCGTCTATAGTGCCTTCAAAAGATATTCATGGTTTGGGGTGGTTTATGTCTAAATTTACGCAACTATTTTTCCTGTTCATCATCTGTCGCCATATGCTGCTATTTTAGTAGCAACGACTCAATTTTGAATCGGTCCCGCCGACTGCACAATAAAAGAAGATAGATACAACACTTTTGCGGCATCACTGAAAAACTTATGCAGTACTGTTATCAAAATTCTCATAACACCGTTCGACAAACCTGAAGTCTTTTTGAAATAAATATGCTTGTATTTTTCGCTTCAGGCTCTGAGGCCAAAATAATGAATTTCGTAGTCGCAATCGCAAGATTTGGCTGCGTTTCTGGCGCTTGCCGTTCATTTGTGGCGCAAAATAATACTTGGAAACAAAGAAGAGTAGGCACTATGTACCCCCGAATTAGAATCTAATTAATTCTAAACCGAATTAACTCTAATTCAAATTAGAATCCTTACAACCAAGCAACGACAAGGCGATAACAAACAAAAACCCAAGCGTCGCTGTTTGAAACAAAAGCGCCATATACTGCGACTTTTTTATAGAGAAGGACAACGCATTTCGGTGGGTGTTA